GAGACAGCGAACTGATGAGCAATTCACCCAAGGAGACTTTTCCAAGATCTCCTTAGCCCTAAAAAGACTTGTATTCATTTGTTAAGCATAGAAAACTTCATGCAGCATCATTCCCTTTACACACTGCTATGCACAGAGAAGGAATGACACGTGGTATTTTGTAATGTGTCCTAAAACATATGGATTATCAGCATCATCAAGGTCAAACACTGTCAAACAAGCAACGTGTCAGGATGATCGATAGCCCTCTGCACCAAGATTTTGCTTAATTTCTTGCAGCTCTGAATAGCAGAAATATCTCCAGCAAAGACCTTACTCAGTTCACTTAAAAATGTGGTTTAAAAGAACAAGTTCTAAATCATTAACACTTACTAGTATCAGTTTTAGATACTTTGCTAAATATACAAAAAAATGAACTTGGAAAGTGAGAGATCAGAAGTCTTGGCACATTGCTGAAACAGGTACAAATATCTGAAACATACCTGAGAGCCTGTTTTTCTCAGGAAAAAGCATTTAAAGTCATAGATTGCTCCACAAACATTAAAGGAAAGGAATATCCGATTTTGAATGTATCAGATAAACGTAGCAGCATGTATATGCACAAAGCATTTGAATCACAAGGTGCTTGAACACTGTGCAGGTATCCTGTGGCCTGATTCAGGCAATGCTACTCCAATGTCCTCCCTAGTGACCACAGCCACTGCCAACTGTGGTTGGGCTTCAAGATATTGAAAGTTTTACTGACAATAAATGTTAAAGGTACTGAAACACAAATCTCAGATGTTATTAACAGTATTAACAACAGAATATGCGTTATATAATCTTATAATCAAGAGAATTAATATAATGAATTTAATCTCCTTAATGATTAACTCTATATTTAACTGCACTGGGCTACGTTCTTATTTGGTCTCTCTCCCTCCTCCACTTTGTTTTTCACCCTTCTTGTTTTCCTGTCATCTCTCTCCCACCATTGAACTTTTCACATGCTACCCAACTTCTTTGCTCCTTTCTGAATTTTGCTGCTCAGTCACCTGGCTCCTCATCTCTCATCTTGATATTGTCAGGTTATTTTATTGCAGCAACAGCCACAGACTTCTTAGCAAGTTCTCTTCCTATTATAATCACACTCCCACATTTATACCATGAGGTACTTGACTGACCAGGCTGAAAGAACATTTTCTGGTGCAAATTTGCATTGTTAACTAGAAATCAATGATAGCTTTGTTAAAGATATTTTAAAAGATCTTTTACATCTGATCATTATTTATTCACCATTCTAAAGGTGACAATACCCTTTGTAATGGTTATGAGGAAGCTTACATAATGAAAGAAGTGCAGAAATATGCTAAGCAGTAGCCCATACAGAACTCCAAAGAATACATTTGATTTCCAAACCCACCTTGAATGTCTGACAGTTCTATAGGCAGTGGGAAGTGAATGCTTTGCTTTTGAATGTGATCTAGATCTGGACTTAGATGATGAATGATATTTAGAAGGTGATCGAGATCTTGTCCGAGATCTTTTCTTATGTTTCTTTCTTTTCTTTTCTTTTTCTTCATCTCTAGGAGGATCTTTGCTTCTGCTGGAAGGTCTTTCTGCTTGTTTAACTTCTGAAGTTGATAACGTTCTTACCGCAGTGACAGGACATGGTAAACTACTGACGCTCTGCAATTAAAGGTAAATAAAAAACAAAACTATATTCAAAGACACATACAAATTTTTAATCTGAGAAAGTCTTATATGTACAAACAACAAGAAGATCTCTAGTTCTTTACACTAAATGGAGGGCTAAACTTCTAGAAGATACCTTGCTCAGTAGTCTTTCCAGCTGTACTACGTATTGCTTTGGTAGAAATGCTGCATAACAAGTGAAACAGTAAGGAAAATAATATATAAATACTCATCCTACATTTTTTTGACTCACTAAAGCTCAAGAGAAATATGTCTATCTTAAGAAAACATTTGATAAATCAATAACAACCTTCCACAAATCCTTAAATCCTCACAGTGCTGCCTTAATATTATTTGGTATATAAGGCTGACATCTTAAAGCATGTCCCTGGGATGCATTTAAGAGGCCTATACGGTCCCTCAGTGGTACATATGCAAGATACACATGGTAAAACTGTTAGCTTAGCTAGAACGCAATTCTGAAGCTTTCTTTTTTTTTTTTTTTTTTCCCTTTCGGTAAAGAAATCCATTCTAAAAAGTGGGCACTACGAGACAACCGCTCATCTATGTATCATTTATATTTAAAATGGGATAAAGCTAAAAATAAAATCGGAAACTACTGACATTCTAAAGTTCTAAAGCCTCTTTACTCCCTGATTGTGCTACTTCAATTATAATAACACAAAAAAAATCCAGTAAAAATATAACAATGTTGATACAAAGTACTTCTGAGCTCTGTAAAATAAATATTTTGTATGTAAAGAGGTGGAAAGATCACTAAGTATTATTAAAGACAAATTAGGTCATTGCTCAATTCATCCAGTAAATAACTGACTACAGATAATTAAGCAAAGCGATACTCCAATAAATTCTCATATTATCAGTTTGCACTTGAGATAATTTTGCTGAATGCCTTGGTTAGAACAACTCAGCTCAGGCGCTATAGGTACGCTCCATATTTCAAATTCTGTCACTCTCCAAGCTGCCATTTCAAGGCAACTGGAGAGATCAGTTTCTTTATGTCATAATTTCCCCTCTGCCTGGTCTGACACTTCACCATTTGATACAAGGATGCTTACAGTGATCAGAATAGAAACTAATCCATTAAAATGTGAAATAACCAAATTAGAAATTGGTGATCTTTCTCTCATTTTCATCCCCTACTGTGAATATGTCAAGGCAATAGAGTTGGCCACATTTGAATAATTGGAAATGGGCTTTCCTTCCAGTATTGGAGAGCCATGATTCTTTCTGAGCCTTAACTGATAATGGCTATTACAGTATTTATAGAACAACCAACAAAGCTATGCTAAACTCGTTTGCTTCAAGGATTTTAAACATTTCATAGACACAATCACCAGAGCTAAATGTAAAGGCTGCTCCTATTTCAAGATAACTGCTTTACTAGAGGCCCATTTCCACTTCCACCAACTTCACAATCCATATATCATTCCAGACACTTCATCTCCCAACTCCAAGGTATCCTAAGAGACTACTGCAGCCTACTTTTGTTCCTTGACAGTGTTATTCATCTCTTTATACAGTACCTTAGTCTTCCCTTTGAACATTACTGAATATGTAACACATTGGCTTGCCTTGAAGTAGCAAGCTCTCCTAGCTTGAAAGGAAACAGCTGTAGGCGAAGTAGAGTTAAGAGGGAAAACAAGAGGCACAAGTAAGAAACAACAGTTCTCAGCGCCCAGGTTCATTTAGCTGCATGAAATACAACCTATGATACCAGTGCCAAAAAGGAAGTTAATAAACTGAAGATGATGTTACTTTCAGCACAAATACTGGGATGCTTCCAGCAAGCAGCGGACAGCCCCAAACGTTCCGCATCCCTGTGCACAGGGAAGGTGCTTGGTGGAAGTGCTGGGCTCTGCATGACGAAGAACAGAGCTGCTCTGCTCATCTCCCTCAAGTGCAGCCACGGGCTCTCTCCTGCTCAGCCCAGCTGCTGCAGGGTACTACCGAGTCACGCTGCGAGAGCTGCAGCGGAGCCGTGCAGAGGGGACTCTCCCCCTCGCTGAACACGTAGGTCCTGGAGCGTGAGATGACAGCGAGCACAGATAAAGCAATCGCCTCCTGAACCGAATGTGCACGACGCGCCGCCGAGACGGGGAGCCGAGACGGGGAGCCGAGACTCCAGCTGTCAGGCCACAGCGCAGGATCCGCTGCGAGGAAAAGCGGCGAATCCCTCTGCACCTACTCCACTTGCTGTCACGGACAGAAACATCACTAGCAAAAGGGGCTAAACCCAGCCTGGGCAGGCTGCAGAACTACGTGGGAGAACTTAACGCCACCACGTTGCAAGGCCACACAGAAAAGTTTCTGCGTGTGTAATTAACACTGCTGAACAAAAGTCTTTAAAAGAATCTGCTGTCTTAGTGTTTGACAACAGAAAGAAGTTGTTATCGGCTTGTGCTTTCACCAGGGAAAGCTGAACTGGGCAAAGTAAGATAGAGGGAAGCAGAAACAAAGGTGAGAATGTAGGAGAGGAGAGAAAAAAAAAAGGCATATATTGGTCTTTATATATTTTATGCAACCTGCACACACTTATCATTTTCTGTAGATGCACAATGTTCCATTGCTAAAAAAATTAGGGTTAACTACAGCACTGAGTATCAAAGATATACGTGATCTGCACTAGTTGATAACCCTCTTATGGTTGGCAAAACTTGAATAGCATCTTAGAAATTTAATAGTGCAGGTTTAAAACTATCTCACTTGTAAACATTCTATCCTCTGCAGAAAAAAAGAATAGTTATACACAGGACAAATATAAGGATGAATCATCTGACAAAAAGAACAAAAACAGATCTTCAGAAGCGAAAAGATGAAAGAGGCAAAAGAAGTATTGCCTCGTGCTATAGAATCTTTATATTATAGATGACATTTGAGACAGGTCATCAAACCAAAATTACTTTCAAATTAAACACTTGTCTATTTTTAAAGCATTACTAGTGCAGATTTTCTCCTTATTTCATTTGGAAGGTAAGAGTTACATAGTTATGAGTTTGGGTATAACTAACTGTCTTTTACATACAGATCAAAGTACTCATCACTGACACAGCATACAATATGAGATTAGCAGAACAGCCTGTATTACAAACGCAGATAAGGTATTATTAGGTAAATCATGACTCATACAAAAATATACTGTACTACAAACGCAATCCAGTTGTCACTACATCAACTACTTTGAAGTCAAACAAACTGTACTCCAGGGAATATGTGAAGCCTTCTCTTGCCAACCACTACTGTTGGCCCCTTCTCCTATTTTTGCCAGGTATTTCCTGCCCAGTCAATTCTGAGAGACACTACATCACTTAAGTTTAATGGTCACTTAATATCAGTTTCTTTGAATAGGCCTCCATAGGCCTTCCTTTGGCAGGAATAAAAGGAACTACAGGTATTTACTAAACCTTTTTGTATTAAATAACGATTTAGCAGGTTAGGTTTTCCATCCCAGAAGATATCTACAATGTGCTACAGTTATCAAACACTGTTAATAAGAACACTATGCAGTTGTTCACAAGCAAGACACCCAGTCTTGCCAATTCTCCTCCCACGAGGCTTGGCTGCAAGGGGCTGGAGAAGCACTGGCCCCAGGTCCTGTTCCTTCTCCCAGATGCATTTAAGAACAATTTTGTTCACATTGACCGAGCAGAGAAGCCTCACTGCTTTTAGCTGGCATTTGACTAGTCAAACATAATTTTAAAACCACAAAAGTGGTCAGTATGGCCTGTATGTATCCCTAACAAGTGTAAAGCCTGTACTCAGGATGCAAAGAGCCAGCATTATTTATTAAACTGAAAAAAAAACTGTATGAGAAACAAAAACAATCAATCAAACCCTGCCCCCTAGTCACATCTTAACATGAGATCTCCCCTACTTAAAATTTTGGTTCCAAATCTTTTGGAAGCAATTCTGAATTTTGGATTATGAAATAATTTAGAAGAAATTTGCTTGTTTAAAAAAAGTTCTTCAATCCAGTACTCCAGAACTCCAGTTCTGAATACCTAACCCTTGCAGTCCTTAAAACTAGAAGCTGTTCCCTATCATAAGTCAATGACGCAACTGTTTGATGATGATTGACCCACTGCAACTAAAAGATGTGTTGGTTGGCTTGCTATAAAAGTGCCTATGTGAGTTATATATGAAAACACCAAACGGATAATGCTACACTTTTCTTCAAGACTTCAAAAAGGGAGAGACTTGACTAGACACAACGTTACCAAAAGCTGATTACAACCTTCCTAGAAGCTGATTTCCCTTTTGGGGTCTGAGTCCTTGGTCACTACAACCAAACATTTTTCAAGTACTGGTCTGATGGATAACTGCACTGTTATAACGCATGCCAGTACTATGAAAAGCCTTTTCTGAAAAGCTGTGTTGCTTCATTGCTCAAGCTGATCTTTCAGCCTACTGTTCCTCTTGCTTGATGTTACTTTAAAACAAACAAACAAAAAACAGGAAACCATATTAAAAATAATCTGCTATAGAGAAAGCAGATTTGCATATTTTTATGATCCAGACAAAGACAAAAAGAATAAAAGCAATATAGCCTATGGTATCAACGGTCCTCAACACGCAGTTAATAGAATCGATTTTGTTCAAAGGTAAAACGTACAGCCAGTAACAGCATTTCTTTTAAGAAACATTTGGTATCATGAAAATCTGACAGAGGTCAGAAAAGCCGTGCTCGTCTAATGCATTTCTACAGAGTGTGATAAGGAAGCCTTCAGCAAAATGCAGGCTGTGTATACACATATAAATAGCATTACTAGTTAGGCAAAAGTAATCTCATGGGAATTACACATCTCATTGAAATGCTCAACTCCTTTTCATGCTTTATTATACGTCTCAGTTACCACTCCAATTTCTAAGATTTTAAATGACAAAAATCATTCCACTACAGGTCCTTTATGAGCATTACATATTGATCTTAGTTTCCTGGACTCTTTGTCCTCTTGCTCCCTTCCCCCAAAACAGGAACCAAATATCCTAGATGACATTTTTGGTGGACCTTTAAAAACAATTATTTTTATATTTTCCTCATTTTGTGGAATATCCCTAATTAATTCCACTGGCAAAACTGCCCAAATAGTTTTTCATCTATCAGTGGCTGTAGTTCTTGATTCCAGCATTCTGATGATTTACCAGCTTGTTGTCAAACTGATTGCACAGAGACCTATCGTCTGAGTAATAAAAATAGATAAATACTTTTCAAAATGTCAGATCTACTGAGCCACCTAATTTCAGAATAAACAGACCTGCTACGAGAAAGTTCTCAAGCACTGTTATAAAAACACAAGCAAGAGCAACAAAAACCAACCAACCAAAAATCCAAACCCACGCTCTGCATTTATGTACAATTGGAGTTAGGTATCGTGACAAAGAATCTGACTGTGCACACGACAGAGGGTAACAAAACCACAGTATTCTTTCATTTATCTTTTCCATGAAAAAATTCTTCTTTATGAAGACCACGTAGACGTAAGCAGAACAAGGGCTTTACAGCAGACAGGTCACATATTAAAACATATGTGGATAGCAGAACTTTAAAATAATGCAAACCAATACTGGTGACTCACTAAACAAAGACATCAGCTTAAAATACACCCATATTTCAAACTAAACTAAAAACAAAACAAATATATATGTGTATATATAGAGAGCAAAAGTGATAGCATAAATGAGAGAGAACGGTAGGAGAAATATTTTGTTTCCCAAGATACTATGGTCTTTTACACTGCGCATTCACACGGTACTAGTATTCCCATATTCACAATATAAATGTCAGTTTTATTTCAAAAAGAAAGGTCACATCAGTGACATTTGAATATATATTTGAAATTATAAATAAAACCATTTATCAAGACAGCATTTCCACAGCATTTCTAGTGGTAAAACGTGGTTGCTTCAAAATTCTCATTAAACTCATTGAAAAAGTGATAAGTGTTAGTGAAAAGTTATTTCAAGCACCAGTATTTCTGATCTTCAGCCAGAGGCTAAAGAGGAAAGTTAGTTTGATCAGTGGAAAAAGAAACAACCTGCTGGCTTCTCTGGGAGTGCTGTATTCCTAGAACTAGTAAACTGATTCTACTTCCCAAAGATGCTTGGGTTTGCAGCAGGCACAAGTGGACCTGACTGCAGCACGTATAAACACACACGGGAAATTTAATGGCTTGTGTAGGATCCAGCAACAAAACCCAGTGGTTTATGAATTTCAAGCCCTGAGAATACGCCGAGGTTTCAGAAAACCGTACACAATCCACACCAAATCCCATTCCTACTTTGCCCACGTGCTGTTTACAGCTATTGCAGTGAAGACGCAAGTATAAGGTGACTTTGTTGAAAATTGATTTTGACAGAGTTTTTCTTCCACTAAGAATAGAGACTGTCTAGACTTGTTGGAGGTGCTGCTACAGGTACTGAAAATACAGAAAACTCCCACCACTAACCTCTTTGCAAGAATACATGAAATCACTCTGGATGGGCATATATTTATGGTAAAATGATGCTAAGAATAGAGAAAAGTGACACTCTTAAGCTAAACTATCCCTTCATAACCTAGGGCATCCACTATCCTGGCAGAAAGGGAGAGACTACCTAGAAGAGAAAGGGAGGGAAGAAAAACAAAAATCAAAAAACAACAACAAAACACAAAACAAACAAACAAACTCCATTAAACTAAGTTATTTTCCTCCACGGACTGGGAAGAAGTCAAGTAACTAGAAACTTAATGGAAAATAATACAACATAAAATTGAAAGAGACTCTTGGACAGATAATGTAGCTCTGCTGCCAAAATCTTCTGAAAAGCTCCAGTACTGAGCTATGATGTATAAATGGATCAATACTAGAAGGATTTTACATGCATACATAATAAATGCAAATCCTTCATTTAAGCTTTTAGGATTGTAGTTATTCTGTTGAAAACAAAATTTGCGTGTGTGAAATACATTATTTCCTAGCTATCTCAAACAGTTATCTCTGTGTACCAAAAGAGTAAACCTATGGCTTTGATCAATAAAAGTTTTTCAGGTTTGTACTTCAACAAATTGCAAAAGAGTATTCCTAGGAATTCCTAGGAAATACATGTCTTCACCAATTAAAAATGCGGGACAGAATTCACTATTTGTATGATTTCTACCTCTTCCAGCTTTCAACAAGCTGGAAGTGATTACTTCCAGAAACATCATCTCTCCATCTGTTTATAGTGGTCTTGAAAACATCAATAAAAATCACAAACATACTGTCGAAATAAACCATTCACTGGAGCGAGAGGACAGCAGAAGCATTTCACTACTTCTGGAGTCTGTTCTAACAGTGATTAAGTGCATAGTTGAACGCTTCATTCTTTATGACAGAAGCAGCTGAGAACTTGACTGTAGCTGTGTCTACATTGCTGTAGAACACAAACTTGCAGTCTGAATTTTTCTGTATAGATATCATTCATCACCTTATTATAGCATGAATACAGATATCCTGACTTGGTGCTTAACTCGCACATTGCCACCTCCTGGCTTTTGTGAATGCTCACTATTTCTATCCCAGCTGAACTCTTAATAAACTTTTACCAGGACTAACCCTAACCCAAGATCCTTCTTTTAGGTTACCTACTCAAAATTTTTTAGTCTTCTAATGCAGATTTCCAAAGGCTTTAGCCAAAGAGATATTGTATTTATAACTACAGATCTATTACCAGTCAGTCTATTGATCAATCCAGCTAACTGATTACAAGTTACTTTAGCATAATAAATCCACTTTTTTTTCTTGGTGATATGTGCTAATAATCCAATATACAATGGTAAAAACATAACTCTTAATTTCCTTTGGAAACAAGTCCAAGCAGTCAAACATTATTAGCAGTTCCACTATCCATCTTGAACTAAACATAAAATTGATTTACTTGTTTTGTGTTCCGTAACTGACCACTGTATCATGCACCTTATTTCTCTACCAATTCCATAACTGATAGATTTGAGAACTACCCAAGATAACTGAAAAAGATGAACAGATTTCTAACTTCAGATTTCTCTCCATTTGCAAAATCTTCTCTCTCTTCAGAGAACTTCATAAAATACTCTCAGATTCACATTCTATAGATAAGTTTACTGCTAGCTTTATGGTAAAGAGAAACCTATTTCTTGCTTACCTCAATACTGAAGGAATTCTCCTCAATCTTCTCAACTTCTGCTTCTGCAAGAGGATTTTTCAGGGTCTGCAAGAACAGTGCAGCTTTCCTTTTGCGTTCAGCTTGCAATTGCTTTTCTTTTGATTCTTTGGAGGCTTGTGCAAGCTTCTCTCTCGCTGCAGCAGCTAGCCTATCCTCTAGCTTCTGTTTTGCTGAGATACAAATACAAAGTTCACAATGAGGTCTAGTTGAGCAACGTAAGTTTCTTTAAAAACACCCTTGTCCCCAAATTCCCACAAGTTCTTCTATTACATCCAAAGACATAACAAGGACAGAGTAGCTTGAAGTTACAAAATTTCAAGCATCTTAATTTATAGACATGGCATTTGTTTGATGATAAGTGTTAAAGACTAAACAGAATTTTTTAAGTTTAAAGGAACCGACATGAAAGCCTTAGCTACTGCATTTGTGTTGTAATGTTTTATTAGCCAAACATCACTGAATTGTACCGAGAGAATCAGAAAGCTTCCCACTGTTTCAGGCACCACATAAAACCTTTTATCCTCGCAGCTGTCAATCTCATCCTATAGTAATTTACACACAGCTCCAGAAGCCAACTTGAAGCATTAGTACAGACTACACTATTTTAAAAAGGAAGCTGTCTTGGGGGCAAAGGGAGAGAAACATCATCATTTTAAAAGAAAACTTCATTCAACATACCCTTCTGCCCTTGCATGCATAAACACAGTAACTGAAAAAAACATACGAAGACTTAAAAGCACTGCATTATAACAGGAACAAAACATAAAAAAGGTTGATATTAGTGCATACAGGCAGGCTATATGGCTGAAAAATAGCTTGAAGCATTTCATTGTTCTGTGAAGGAAAACAAGAAATGGACATGCTTTTTCTGGACTGTGTTGATGCAATCTGGAAACTAGAAGTCGAGTGTCCACTCAGAGGCTGTAATCAAAACAAGAAAACAAAGAGAGACCACACGTTATGGGAAAGCACTCAAATCCAGCTTGACTTTAGCTGAGCAAGCAATGAAACCTGCATTGTTAAAAATAAGGAGGAAAGGTTGCTGGTGGGGAGCAGCCTGCAGGGGATTCCTGTTAGAAGAAGGTCAAGAATTGGTACTTTTTCATGCAACAATTCTGCTCTTTGCCTGAAGGAGTCAATCTTTCATTTGCTTTCAATGTAACACTGGATACCTTGTTTAGCTTCCAACTCCTCCTGTGTAAGTTGAGGTTTTTTCTCTTCACTAACAGTACAAGGAGTGGTAACAGCTGGCGTATGGTTTGTAGTAGTAATAGCATTCTCTTGGCCTTCCTTGCCCTCTTCTTCCTCCTCATCACTGTCATCATCTAATTTAACACGGTTTTTCTCCAAGGGAAGAAGGTCATTTTCCTTGGCCTTGATTGCAAAGCTTATTGGAGCAAATGATGCTGTGAATGAATGGATAATATTTTACACATCATTAGACAACAGCAGAAAGCAGGTTGACTTTTTTTTTTTTTTTAAAAAAAAAAACTTTATCCATTACTCAATGAAGGCTACACTATGAAAGGATAAGATGTGGGGAAAAAAAGAAAACTTGAGTCATCTTAACATAATGCAAATTACTCAACGGAAAAGGACAGGACTAAAAGAATTTTTTTTTTTCTCCTTATTTTTCTTGACAGCAAATGCTCTTTACAACCTCTTTTAATACTTCAGTAGAAGGAGGAAAAAAGGTACTCTAAACCATCTCAGGAATTACATTTTCCTCAAGTTAACTATAAACAATTTAATATTCTCCACCAGCTATTTCCCTGGTTTCTCCTCACCAAGCATTCAGCCAAGGCTGCTTTCTGAGAATCTATATTGCACATGCTGGCCTATGTTTCCTTTACACTAAATCTGATAGCTTGTAAAATGATAGCATTTGTCAGGCTTACACAGCAGTGCTTAAAGACTTATTTCCATCTATATGAAAATTAATTACTTTGGGAATTAACTGCATTTCATTATAGGAGCAGTAAATGCAAAAGCTAAGCAGTTTTCACTAAATACAAGTATTTCTTAGCTAATCTCGCTGTGGCAAGATTGGTGGTCAACTATTTCTTTCAAGCAGCTGCTGCTCCCTCCCGAACAAAAAACCCCATCACATTCAAAGGAAGAAAACTGCCTGCATATAGAGAACAGAACGCTGCAGTAGAAAGGAAATTTCAAGCTAGTGGATCATTTCGAGCTAGGTTTTACTAGTGGATCTTCCAAAAATAATAAGCATAGCTAATGTATTACCACATGTAAGTCTGAACTAATCCTTTCTCCCCTCAAAGAAATTCCCATGGAATAGTTTTGAAAAGTAGTTTTGGGAAAATACAGAATTAATCTGTTAGCTGTTTATCCAAATGCAACTTTAAAAAACAAAGGATTGAACTTCTTGTACATCTTGTAATCTACTGCCATATGGTTTGCTGCAATATTTTTTTTCTTTCTCAGAATGCCTTTTGCATATGCATCCTCTAAGCTTTCAATTAAGGAAATTTAAGTTAAATTGATTTACATGCCAAGGTTTATGACAAATAAGCTTTGCATCCTGTAATTCTGGGGTTAGAAAACCAGCTTAAAAATAAGAAAGATAAGGAAGAGTCCAAGGATTACAAGATAACAAATAACAACAGTGGTTTCCCAACTTTCTCATATAGCCAAACAAATCATAAATGAGATTTTTAAGTCTTTGGAGGAAGTTTAAAAAAAAAAAAAAAAAAGATCTGGTACATCTGGTTTATAGCCAACTCCTGTATTTTGTCTGCAATAAACAACAATTTGTACCACAGTATAGAGAAAATTGAAATAAGTTTAAAGGAACAGGGCTGACATGAAACAAGTCTTTGGTTACATTACATAATCTATACGATGTGAGTTGCATTTTTTAATTAAATAATAATAAAAAAAAGTGCATCCTGGGTTGCTGCTAAGGCTATTAGAAGAAAAACATTTTACTTAAAGACTGATTTTTTCTCTAGGCTATCTTCCAACACATGAAGATGGAGAAAATAAGAAATATGCCTAGCCTACTTCCTCCTCATGTGTAGTCTCAGTAAGATTACAGTTTTTATTCAGAAAAAAAATTTTCTTTCGCATAGGCAATTTGTAATAGTCAGGTTTTAAATGGCTTAATGACAAAAATAAAACTCTATTAAGATCAATGTTGACAGCCTTTAGCTTTGTGCAAAACTGAAATAAAGCAATTAATCTGTCAGACAGTGAACACTTGATAGGACGTGATACAAAAATAAGAAACATGAAAGCAATCAAATTATTTCAGTCCCCTTTTGATGCTTCTATTTAAAATATTTCTTCTACACACTGCAAATGCCTTTTCCTACCTTTTTTTAAAAGTTTATTCCAACAAATATCTTGGAGTCCAATAAATCCCAACGTACCTTTCACCAATTTACCATCACTAATAGCTTTAGAAGGAGGAACATCCTTTTTAGTCCCCGGAACTCCCTTAGCACTCGATTCAGACGCATCCTCGGGTGTATGTTCCTCTGCAAACTGAGTTTCACTCGGTGTATCACAGGCAGTATCTGCTGGAACATCTTCAGATGAAGATACTCCCTTCTCAAATAGAAAAGTGCAAGGTTACCAACTGAGGAATTCAGGTCAGCATTGCTGCAGTATTTGTAGAGCTGCAATTCTTCTAGCCTTTACAAAAAGCACATTACCAACAGCTAATTGTATATCAGCAATCTTATTCCATGCAGTCACAAGCTAAAGTTTGCTTCTTTTAAGTACTGAACTATTTTATGTAAACCCAGATGTTGCAAGAAGAATGTGCTGTGATTCTAAAGAAAATAAATTCTTCAGCTGTTCTGCTTTTGCCAACAGCTGATTTAAAAAATGATACTTTTGGCCTTGGATATATTTTTAAAATTAAGGTCTATTCTTCTAGGTCTTGATCTTCTGGGTTCAGAGTAAGATCCATTAAAAATAATTCACAGTGCCAAAATGAAAGCTCATGACATTTTTGCTAATCCACAATTGCATTATGCTTTCTTTACAAATTCAAGTTATTACTGGAATGACCATAAGTTGAAATGTTTGATTTGTTATCTTCTGCTGGAGAAACACTGGGTCCACTGATGGCTTTTGTGGCATTAATTGACAGAATACAGATGTTTTCAGAGTTTCAAACAGCTTACTGGAAGCATAAAGAATTATTGCTTCTACTATTACATAACTGTACCATTCTACGTGAGGTCTAAACTTGTACTACAAAAATTGAGATATATATTGTAGAACATTAAGAATATTTAAAACGTGAATCAGAGTATCATATGAAATAATGTAACATTTAAATGAGACTTTCTCAATAAATTAGTTGCTTCCAACCAGCTTCTGTTAAGTACTGAATGCTGGTGTTGAAGAGATCCTTTCACTACTCCCTGTAGCTTTTCCCTGATCAACAGCAATAATTTCCGAAAGCCTGAAAACACACACAGACCACAAAGGAATCTAGGGCTTCGGCTAAATTTACTGAAGCCAAAAGTCCAATCTCCTATTAATTTTAACGGCCAAATGGAGAGCAATCAATTGCAGTAGTTGATTAAACTTACATTATTAAAGTAAAAAAAAAAATATTGAAATCATTATTAAAATAAGTATTATCTACAAAAAAAACATGCAGTAGGAAAGTACGCATGGCTACACAAGACCTGTAGGGACTTAACTCAGTTTCTGCTTGCTTTTTGGCTATACTCATTTCAGCACACAAAAGAAATCCTTTATTATTACACTTTCATTTATGTACTTTTTTTCTTCAGAAAATAAATGCTAACAAATCCTTAATAATTATGTAACTATTATGAAGTCTAACTCCCTGATTTACAAATAAGAAATTCTAATACAATAGAAAAGGACAATTTTGCATGTTAAATCATACCATCTTCCAATATCTTGGACTAAAGAGTGAAGGTAGCATGAAACTGAAGAGATATTCTGAAGCTTCACTATTGCTTTAGTCAGCCATGGCCTCTTCCATAACAAAAACTCCCTCAGAAGTATATCAGAAAAGTAGTTTAGCTACTGTTTTATAAAAAACATATGAGAAGATGGGACTGCCAAGAAGCTGTACGTGGCATTTCCAAGAAGAGAACCCTAATCCTAGAAAGCTCTACATCTAGAAAGCTCTAGATTTCCTCCCCTTGCATAGAATGTCAGAAGAGACTCTGGTTGCCATTTGTAACCACACAGTTAAAATACTCCAAACAAATGCAAAAAAAAAAAATTTAAAGCAGCAATTCCATTTTTTTTTAAATGTCCATACTAAAAAAGTCTCACATTAACATGCCAGAAAACAACAATTCCTTTTCCCCATTCAAAACAGATTTTTAGTATACCTATATGCAAATATTCACCTACCTGAGAGTTGTCACTGCTCTCCTTTTGAAGGAAGAACTGTTTTTTAAATTCATAATAAGCATTATACTGGTGCCATGGCTGCAGAAATTCAAATCTGTTGAAAGAAAATCGAGTTTGTGAAAATGCACGTGAACATAACACGTACAATCATTTACTATCTAAGCATCTCCTGCAGAGGGAATGCTATTTAATGTCTGCACGTAATGTAGCTTATGCCTATCATACATTCACAGCACAGTTCTAGAGACATTGTTTCATCGACTGTTTTGGGCAACAATGTCTTAACATTGTAGGTCTCTGAATTTCACACACATACAGAGAAGATAGTTAGGTAATACAACTCTTCTGGAGATATGCATGTCCTGGTAATATATTTTAAAATGAAACCATTATCTATTACCAACTATTAAGATGAAAGTTAAAAGTCTTCTCTTACCTAAGATCATTCTTTGCACGAACACTAGTTTCAAATTTAACTCCATTCCTAGCAACATATTCAGCTAGCTTGTCGATAACAGGCTGGATGTCTGGTGGTGGAGGTATAATGGCAACCACTGGAGCAATTGTGCTGAAAACATCAGAAGTACATCGTTTTTACAAGGAAAACCAGCAAACAAACAAAACAACAAAAAGAAACCAAAAACTCATAAATATCTTTCAAGCTCCTGTTTTAACAAGTAAACACTAAATAGAAGTTTGCTCTTTGGGTCATTATGCAGTTAAAGCAACTCCTAATATTTCATCAAGCAAAAACGTTATAATAGTTAAGACCAAAAAGACCAAAGTGGAATCCGATGATTGAAGCAACAGAAACACTGAAGAACATTACTAAGGAAGTAGTAAAATTGTCGACAAATATTTCATGTGGTACCTTGTAGAAGTGGTGGTGGAAGTCACCGCGCTGCTGCTCTCGGTTGTTTCTGGGGGAGGTGGAGGTGTAGTACCCGGGGGTGGTGGCACTGTTGCTACCCCCGTAGTGCCCGATACAGTCACCCCTGCAGGCAATGCGTTATAGTAGGTGGTAACATCTATTCCTGGAGGCGGAGGTGCGAGGCAGTAGGTTCCGTCAGGTAGCATGTAGTAACTGTAATACATGGCTGCCACAGTTGCTATTAAAAAAAAAAAAGTCAAAATTTCAAAATTTGGATTAGAAACCCCCTCCTCCCCAAAGACATAATTGCATCAGTACAAAACATCTAGAATCCGGATTCACATAACACACTAAAATTGACTACCCATATTTTCCTGTGTTAAAAAAGAAAAATATTCGAATTAATGCACTAAGAATGAGTAAGAAAACTATATATCAAAGGACATAATCAGTACTTACTGAGGGTCAGCTGGAAACGACATAGGTATGAATAAAAAAAAAAATGAACCAAAGAGGGCCTACAAAAACCGATCATCTCTTATGAAACCCTTCTTCCCAGACCAATTCACCTCAGGCATTTCAGCTCCATTAAAATTGTGTATGCATTAAGAAATGCACACACATTCAAAACTAACTTTGACAAATCAAACTAGTAGTTAATAGTATGACTCATGCTTTAATTAAAGCAATTGCTATCACAATTAGGACAAAATTGCTTTTCAAATGAGAAAATTAGAATAAATACATACTTAGTTTTAAGTTCTGGTTTATTAATAGCCTTTACTACTACCTCTCATCAAAATAAAAGTAACAGCTTTATATAAAGCTAGTAAAAATCTGCTTTGAGCATTCAAGCAATTCTTGTCTTAACTGGTAAACACATTTGCATTACGAGCTTTGGGATCAGAGTTGTGTTGACTGTATATCCAGCTACACAAACAACATACCCTGTTAAACAGAAATTAGACTACATTGTCTATTAACTATGAAGCTGTGTAGTCACTCACATTCACAAACGTAGAAACTTAAAGCTTAGATATGATTCCCTTTTGTTATGTTTCAACTTCTAGATTATACTACCTCTGCAGTAGCTGTCTGACCTGAGTTAGGAAACAGGTAATTTATATGCGCTACGGTCAGAACAAAATTATGAATATTTCACAAACATATACTTTAAAAAAAAACAAAGAAACAACAAAAAAAAACCAACAGAGTGCCCAATACTTCATTCCACTCATGAACTATGTACAAATTTTTCAATAAATAAATAGCTGAATAAATCACTAGTATTTGTTGTGAGCAGAATAGATTTACTTTCAAAATAATCTTATCAGGTAGTCTTAAATCTACCTCATTGGCAGTGAATTCATCCTCTGCACTCGATAGTTCGAACTTCAAATTTTGGCTCTGGGGTCATTTAAGTTCACTTTAAAGTTTTGTCCAAGCACATGTCAGAAGGCACATTTTTTCCCAACGAATGACCCAGAGTCAAGGGTGACTCAGTGAGTGAACGACAGCGACCACTCAGAACTCATTAAAAATAACAAGAAAAATAAACTCTATTTATCTCAGGCAGATAATTTTTACTACGCAATCCCTGACCAAGAGAACTACTTCCAGCTCAAAATAACTAAAACATATTTAATGTATTTCCTTGTATTAACTCATTCAGCTTCTGAACAGGAAGAAAAAGAATGTGTTTCATATATTAGATGCACTATTTCTCATCTTCAATGCACCAAATGATATTAAATCATCATTCATATCATACGCATATCAATAGATGCTCAAAAGCTGAATACTTCGATTTAGGTTTGAGCTAAGGAACCAGAAAAAAATCCACCATTACTGGTTGTTTCTAGTTTCCATCTATTAACCCAGCTTAATAATTTAAACATTAAACATATGGCTATAACCTGAGGAAAAACACATTATAGGGAAATTGAGAAAAATCTGTGGACTGTTGTCTAAAGCAGGCTCCACACTAATATACAAATAATGAAAGAAAATTCTCAGTCTGTATATTGCTCCCCCCATCACCTATTTTAATACACTCAAACATCCCCAAAATATTAAATCCAGCATCACGTTCTACAGATAATTATTATCAAAGGAGGGAAAAAGCCTCAGGGTATGTCTGACTGATACCAGGTAACACACCTTAAGAAAACAACCCAGGAAAGTTAAACACATCTAATAAATGAGGGACCCAAGTTATTTGGTAAAATCTCATCACCTGAGGCTGACAACAGTGCCAGGACAAAGACAGGACAATGAGCAGTTTTCAGGCAAAGAAAGATGGAGATTAACACTCTTTGCAATTCCAGTTAGTGCAATAATGTACCTGCTTCCTATATATAAACTTGCTTTAAGATTAAACTGATTGCTTCAGTAACGTGCTCTTGCAGTTAGTACCATAACTTTGTATTTCAAAGCACTGTATTAAACTTTGACGCTTTTTAATTTTATCTGCTGCCCCTCACCGATGCACTTCATGATTAGTCATTGGTTTTACCCTCTCCAATACTGCTTCTTACATCTCACTCTACCAAGGCTTTCCAGTAGAGACAACCTAATCACTTCCCGATGCTATGATGGATAATCCATTCTGTAGTAACAGAAAAGCTATGTCAAAAGAAAAGCAACATAGTGCCAGAAAAATTTGCCACTAAACCCCGCTAATTTTCTGTCCACCTTAAAAACGGACAAAAAAAATCTTCTATTTAAGCTTCATTAGTTTAGATAAATTGTCAGGTGTTACAAAACACGCATGCCAAGTGCAAGTTATATTTAACTATACCAGCTTTATTACCTGAGATTACATCACAGAAATACTACAATAAATTTTTCTTTTTAAACACGGCTAGGAGTTTCTCCTTCCATAAAAGCTTGAGGCAGAACATTAACTTTCTTTGCATACATTCATAAGCAGCATTTTTCAGCCAAATACCTTAAAATACGTTAAAATGGAAGGAAATCACTAATTATTTCCAAGATGATTTTAGGACAGAGAAATAATAGCAGTTTGCATGTCTCAAACCGAATCCTTTTAACAGAATCAACACTGCTTAACCAGTGCATCATGTTATAATGAGTTATCTTCTTAAAATGAGTTTCATAAGCAATTCTGTACGGCAGTATTGACTTTATTTAAAGAATAAATGACTGTAAAGGGAGTAGAATAAAAATCTATTGACTTATAAAGGCAAGAAGAGGAGATGCAAACTTAATTTGCAAAGTTTGAGGACATTTATAGCAATGCATAAGATGCATTCAGATCCAAGGCTGACATGAGAGTAATATGTTTCAGTTTTCTGATTACTCTATAGAGATACTAATTCTAGTTTTAGCTTTTCTCAAAATATCTAGTAGTTTTCCATATCAACATAGAACTCTTATTTCAATTCTAATAAGATTCTCTTGAAGTTCAGTCTAAAATAGAAATCATTTACTTGCATTAAGAAATATATTTGAAAAACATCTGAAAAACCCCAGTCATTTGGGGTGAGAAAGGAAACTTATAATGCATCGTAATCAACTTGGATCTCCAAAGTAATAGTGCTTGCAACAACACTACTGAAACTATTCAAAATGTAGTGTATCAAGTACTTTGGAGTGTGTTCATTACTGACAGATTTCCATTAATAGCACTGTACCAATGCAGAGAATAGAAGCAAGGTGAAATGATGAGAAATTACATGAATTGAGCAAATGACTTAAAATATTTTTCCACTTTAGAACTACTGCCAACATTAGAACAGAATATCATATTAAAACCTGGATTTATCACCTAATCGGGATCTTTCAATATACATAATTAGAACTCTGCAGAGTTTTTCTAGCGTCACACAGTCCACAAAACTGTTCAAAGTAGATTTATTATATACTTTTTTGCTTAATACAGCAAGCTTTTTTGATGGGACTCTCGTCAATTACCTTATGGGACAGTTTTATATTCAACACTGAAGATATTTTACAATCTCGAACACTGCTTCCGATGGCATGACTGAATTAGTTTATCCTACTTGTTTATTACTACTTGCAGAAAACAGCAGTAATGAGACCTCACTAAAGCAACGATTTTACTATTATGAAGAAAATGGCTCTCTTAAACGGCTAAGCCTGTGCTTACACTTTGAGATGAAAAGGATCTTTTAGTATGAATCACAGACTATAGTATTAGATAATGAAATCACACGATTTCATGTGATCACAAAATATTATTTTGAGTTGTACCAAAAGGTGAGCTTTTAAACTCATAGATTTTGCTCTGCAACTTTTCCCCTTAAAAGATTTTACAATTGTAATGACCTGAACACAAACAGTAGTCGTATCAGATCAGTTACAGGACATAAATGCAAAAGGAAACATTTTCAAAGCAAATAGTACTCTTTCATAATCATCTTACTAACAGATAATGAAAACTATTGTATAGTATTTAGTTTAATGTACAGTTTTAAAATGCCATTTGATTTATAAGATACTAGCCCAGATTAAAAAAAAAAAAGTCATGACTTTTTTCCTCCTTCATAAAAGGATTATGAAAAGGGCAATGAACTTCAAAAAATTACTATAGACTTTTGAATCTGGGCTTCTGGCTTCTCAGGATAAAGCTGTAAATTTCAGTTGGGAGGATTGGAACAGACCCTTGATTTGGAAGGATCATCACCTTTCTCACACAGTTTTGCTCTACTAGGCTTCATTTACCGCAACTGATTGAAGCTGATCAAAACCACTAAGGGTCCTGTTCTAACCATACTCACACACTGAAGATTTGGGTGCCACCACCAGTTTTTATTTTTTCTAAACAATCAACAATGTGACAGATATTTAGTGGCTTAAAACACTTTAACACATTAGGAAGTTAAAAGAAAATAAATATCAGTTATGAATGAGCAAATATGAAGTTAATACACTTTCTTCCCATTAGCATCCACACGCAATTCAATAAGATGAACCAACAGCTGCCTAATCACAATGCACTTACAATCAGAAGAATATTCTACTTGTGATGTCTGTACAGCTGCTCCATCTGTTGACTGTGGTGCAGATGAGTTGTTATCCGATTGTGCTTTGCGGACCAGCGCAGCAAGCGGATGATCAGGGTCCACTACCTTCAGAGGCTGCAAAAATCAAGAAAACAGAAGAGATGAGAATTTGAAGTGTATACTGAAAACAGAGCACTATAAATCTAATTTTGGAAGGCAAGCAGATCTAAATTAATAAACATTGATAATATCATCTATTTACCAAAATTCTTGCCTCTGTAACTCTCTACCTCACGTCAGTATCAACTTGATTTTTGTTAAAAAAAATTGCAAATTTGCTGAAAAAAGCTCATTTGATGGGAACGTAAATCCATGACATGGAGAAGTGTATATTACTCTCATTAGTTTACCAAAGTAATGATCAAATAAAGGACTTGATTTGTCTAAATATTAAAAGCATCAGTGCCATTTCTCTGAAAGCCTCAAATGGCTTTCAGATGTACCTCAAATGGTACAACCATCTGTTATTCTTATTATTCCATTATTGAGCAAACTCGGAAAACAAAAACATCTTTAACACATCCATTAAAACTCAGACCTAATGAGTGTTACTAATTCTGCTGAAATTAGTCACTTAGAATTGGAATTCTAGAAAGAAAACATTCTAAGATTTCTAATTCTAAATCTTTCCAGATTTCTAATAGTCTTTCTCAGTTATTATATGAAAAACATTAAATATCTTAAGATATTTACATATCTTAAATATCTAAAAACTGCTTAAAATCTTTAGCTTTAGTACAGCTTGTGGGGTAAATTCTTGATTGATATGCTGCCCTCATACCAGGGGGCATCAAAAACAGGAACATTATGGCTTAAGAAGAGAAAAATAACAAACTGATGTACTGGGTAAAAGGTAGCTTGGAAGTTCACTAAAATATATTTACATTTCCAAGTAACAGTCTGAAAAAAAAATTTGTTAACAAAACATCTTGCATATTGCAAAATGTCTCATTACAGGGTACAAATTATAAGGTAGAAAGTCATTTTATTTAAGTACCTTCATAAGCTCTTCAAGCCTACTGCATTTTTTAGATGCAAACAGACTTGGATGTAGATAGTTTCCATCATCATCATCGTCGTCGTCATCATCTTCCTCAGATTTGGCTTTTGAATCTAAATGAAAACAATGTCAGAAGTTTTAGCTGAGTTTTATAAGGATTTGTATAGAGAAGGAAAAAATGCACAGGTCATATGCATTCCTTTCTTTAAGGAAACGTGATTTTCATAAATTTATTTATTCACGAAAAGTGACAGGTACAAGAGATTACTAACCATCAATAAAACCAAAGTACACAGACCAAATTTCCATTGAACTAAGGTGTTTCTAAAAGCTCCAAGATCATAGAAGCTTTAAAAGAATCTGAAATTCTCCCGAAAAGATCTTTTTCCAATACAAATCTTTTTCTGTTTAAGCAGATTATCCTCTTACTTTAAATCACCACATCCATCTCAGTTGCAGGATGGCAGTACCATCATTCCAACATGTGAAAAAGATATGACTTTTCTACCAAATACATCAGAAGGCATTTCAGTGGCTCACACCTTAAAACCAGCTATTTGACAAGCAATTACTTACTTTTTTTATCTTCTGATTTATTTTCAGAAGGAGCAGCATATCGTCCCTCTTTCATAGCTTTCTGAATGAATTTGTAGTAAGGATTGAGGTAGTGATCAAATCGCAAGAAGTCAAACTGGGAGTTGCGTGCTTGCTTGGCTTTTAGCATAATCTCAAACTGTGCTCCCTGCTTACAAACAAAGTTTGCAGTTCGTTCTATAATTGCATGCATTTTTGCTGTTGGTGGCTGTGGGAGAAAAATAACATATATTTTCATAAGCAGCCTATAAAGTTTGCCAGAATTTAGAGAGAATTAGAAACAGCATCAGTGCCCTGCCCCATTTCTAGCTTTCTTTAGCTCTATAGTTTCATAATCACTTTCAGCTGGTGGAAGCCAATCATTACTGAAAAAAAACAGTTCATCCTTCCCCAGCTGGTCATTCGTCCCCTCTTTGCAGCATCCTCTCTTTTTTATCAGCACAAGTATTTTTGCCATTGCACACCAAACCCAAATGGCAAAAGTTCAGGGCAATATTTAAAAAAAGAAGTTTTAAACCAGGTCTATTCCATAGCAATAAAAACACTTCTGCCTTCATCAGACAGGAGACAGATGTGTTTCTTCACACAGCAGTCCCAATTTTAAGTGGCTCTATTTTAGAATAACTCAAGGTGCTCTGAAGACTCATCATGTAATTGTTTCTTCCCAACAGCTATTCTCTATGCTATTATCACTAAACATGTGAATAATGTTCCCTAGGTAGAAAAGCTTGTATCTGTGCATTTTCTTAAAGAGACATGTTGCTTCTGAAGACCAGTGTAAGAATTGCAAAAAAAAGAAGAAAATTTGAATAAATTAAATAGCACCAATCCATTTGCACTTCTGAAATTCCACGTAAGGAGCACTGCAACCTCAATACCAAGAAGTGAAAAGAGGAAGAATGGATAAACTTCACCATTCATTGTCTTTAATTTCATACTTGGGTAGGTCTGTTTTATCCTGTGCTCAGTAACCTGCAGAAATGCATACAGTACACCTATGGACAATGAAGTGTTACATTAATGACTTGGCTTTCACTTTTCTTTTATTCTAGATGTAGAAGTACATTGCAGAGCTCAGAAAATCTTTTTTAAGAGATCAGAAGCATACCAGACATTGATGCTTTATTTAAGAAAAAAGCATGAATGTGATCAAAGAAGACTTTTTTTTTTTTTTAGAAATTATTTCAGCTTTTTAGATTCTTTGTTAGAAAAACACACTCAATCTGGGAAATAGTTCATAGTTTCAAAATTTATTTGTCTCTCTAGAACAGTATGAAAGATTCTTTTAATTAGAGGCAATGTAGTTCTCAATCTGACAGCACTTTGTGCATAGCCAGTTTCACAACTTCATTGTATGTTGAATTTTCCTATTCCTGCAGTTCTTACACAGGAATATAGAAAATAAATAAATAAATAAATAAAACAACAAAAAACCCTTTAAGGCATAGAGATTCATGAATGAACTAGATGAAAAGTAACAAACCCTCAAGCAAAGAAGATCAAAAATGACTGTATCTGTATCTGAAATTACCGTCTGGTGTCGTAGCACCTGGTGCTACTTCCTCAGCCTGGAAAACATATGCTATGAATATTAATATGTAGCCAAGATCATCAGCAACACCACCGACAAAACCTTCTAAAGTTCACCGAGTGAAAAAATTAAATGACTGTCAAATAAGAGAAGCAGCTGTGGCAGGCATATTTCAGTTAACTATTATATTTAATAAAAAATTGAAGCATTTTAACTGATAAGTCCTTTTTGTTAAAAATTCTGCACACAGCAGTAGCTGTCACAATAGGGAAGAAATGCTTCTGAGAAATACTCCAGTTCCATCAATGCTATAAACTAGTCAGACATTCTGTTCCAATATTTAATTATTTTTTGCAGTTAGAAATATTTCGTAGGTGAGCTACTACAAGTTAAGCAGATATCCTCCATCCATCAAGTCTGAAAAATAATTTAACTCATATTTTAGAAATCAGAATTCTCATCTAGAAAAAACAAACAAACAAAAAAACAAAGCAATTTTCGATCTTTCCTCATAATTTTAAAGATTAGATGCTTTCCTGGTTTTCCAGGTTACTTGGATTATGCACAATCTTCTGAGAATGAAGAAAAACCCCAAGCAAAACACAGACAAAACTGAGACAACTTGAGAAGGCAGCCTCAAAGTAAATCAACACTTTGACAGCAACATCATACAAGATAGATTATTATTTGACATATCAGTATCTCTTATAAAACTTGAAACATATTGAAATTCTTCCTATTTACAACTGTACCCTGATCCTAGGATTGCTTCACTTTGCTGAAGCACCTTGGCAGGAGATAGTTAGGAGTTAGACAGAAGTGTTCCTTCAGGGAAAATGTGCAAACCATAAAGTTTACAGCTTATGGTGTACTGAATTCTGAAACATCATATGAAGAAAAAAGAACTTCTACGTTGTTTTTTATAATAGTCTAGAAATAAACTATTACTTTTCTCCTCAAATTGGCTTGTCTTAAACACAGCTTTAAATGTAGTCACTTTCTCTCCCCTTCACAATGAAACTGAAACAAACAAAAAAAAAACACAAAGAATCTTTTGGTTTAACGGTCCCTTACATTTAGAAGGCCAACCCTGGAGTTTCTTTTAAGATTTTCTTAAAATGAAATCTGTCATTTCATACATATTTCACCTTGTGTGCTGGATGATGCATAGTGGTTACTTAACAACGTGCAAGAAGAACAACGGCATTTTTCCTAATTACCTAAAATAATACCACAATTGATGCTAAAAGCACCTAGCCTAAAAATTTTAATATTTTTATGTGAGTTTTCTATGTGAAGCGTAAGATTCAATACAGTTGTCTAAATTGGTATGAGCTATTAATGGAAGCTGCTATTTTGGAATGGTTTAAAAATCTACCAAGATAAAGCTAGTAGAAAAATGCAAGTAATGCACCATAATTTTTTTGAAATTGACATAAAAATAGGCTAAATCAAATACACACACTTACCAATTCCACATCAGAAGGTACATTCAGTCCTGGAGGTGCAACAAAAGGTTCCTCATTTTCTTCCGCATTTTCTGTCTGAGCTGTTTCTACAAGAAATGACAGAATAAAACACTGTTAAGATGAAACCCAGTAAACTACACAAACAATCACAATAAAAAGTCATTGCTCATTAATCTACCATTTCTTCCAAGGCAAACAAGCCAACCCCTTCCATCATCTTACAAACTCTAATGAAAGTTGCATAGTAATGCATTAGAAAAGTTAAAATCAATTTGATCTATCGATCAAATGTTATGATTTATTTTATTAGGTGTCTATAAGCATCCTCACAGAAAATCTATATCCTCCCTTAAGTAGTTAGGGTGAAACACACTAGAAAAAAAGGACTGGAATTATTCTAGATATATCATCAGTTTAGCAGAGAAAAGTAACATGAAGCAACCCAGACAAACAATTTGGACTCACAATGGCACTCTTGCAAAGTGCAATTTCTGTTTATTCCCCAAATGATCATAGGTAGATTCCCTAATATTATGGCATGTTTTCATACAAAGTTTTGCAAACATCTTCTACCACACTGGCACGCTGTAAGTTTCAATAGCTTCTTGTTTAGGGACTAAAAAGGAGGGAACATTCATTTTTTTAATCTCTATGCAGGAGAGAGATGCAGGAGCTGAATGACAAACATCCTCTCCATTATCCTCAATTTTCCAATAGGCTTATCCCTAGCTATTTACTGCTCTACATAATATGCAGAACATCCCTTTCACAAGCAATATTCAAAGACTGCAGGCAAAGAGACTTTAAAACTGTTTGGTTATGCATTCTACTGAACAAATGGGAATAAAACAAATCAAAAGATAAGCCAGAAAAGAAGGTCCAATTCAGTATGAGTAGTAAAGAATACAGGGGAAACTTTTGGCAGAATACAAGTGGTAGTGACAGTGCCCTGACATGACTTCCCACACAAACTGCAAAAAAACAAAAACTGAACAACCTTTAAAATCTAAAAAGATGCCACATTTTCCTTTTATATCACACAACTCAGTAAACACATTTTATACCATTGCAACCCACCAATATACAGCTAGACAACCCAATTGTTTATTAAATGATCTTAAGTTTACTAAAACATAGTTCAATAGCATTGTGAAAGCTTCCTTAAGATCTCAGGTTAAAAATGCACTTTTATTGCAACTAAACACACGGAACCGTGAACTGTAGCTCTGCATTTTATAAGATCCTGGAAAGAGACAACCTACGTCAAAGGGATATTGATTTTAAAAACTAAGATGACAAAATAAAGCTTTTTTAAACAAAGCAAAATTGGTATTCTAATTAATTATTATGTTGCCTCATGTTTGTTATGACCTTTTCCTTCTTAAACAAGAAATATATTGGTTGTGCAGAGCACCGTGATGAATTTTTATCTATGAATGGCAACCTGCAAGACAGCTGAACTAAATTTCCTAACTACTGCAGCACTGACTGTGGCATATCAGAAAAATATTTGAACACTTCAGGAACAAAGTTTGTTGGAATTTAGTAAAACACTTTCAGAAAGATTTAGCCGAAATCCTTAAAGATTTTTGAATATGTGTCTTAACGAAACACTAGATTTTCCAACTAGAAATTTACAGGACAAAGGCGTGTGTTGTTCATCTAAGTGAATCCTTGCTACATTTAGTTCTCACCTCTTTGTTTTGCAGGCTGATTCTCCTCCTCCTCAGTGGGTTCTGAAGGATCATAATAATCACTGCCATAACGGAATCCCACTGCATTGTATGTGCCGTCCTCTGCCAAAGCTTCACTCAATCTTTTATATTCCTCCTCTTGAACAAAAATGCAATTACCAATTAATAAAATATAATTAAAAGGTAACTTCTCAAAAAAAAAAAAAAAACTTAAGTTTTTAGAAATAAAGAAATTTTCACCTGTTCATCTTAACTTTAATTAAAAATTGAACAGAAAGAGGCAGCATTTGTATTTGCTGACTCTTTCTTCCTGAAGAAATAAAGGCTGAGGGTCAAAATATTCTATTGAAATTATGTATACAAGAACACTCACTTTCAGTTAAAAACAAAGAAACAAAAGGAAAAAAAAAGACTGAAAAAGAAGAAGACTGTGTTTATTCTGGGGCTTTTTTTGGTCTGAAATCCCAGTCTGCCCTCAGAATCTGGGCAATTTCTGTGTGGATCTACATTTAAACTATCCTGAGGTCCTCTCACATACGCAAAGACTCCCGTTTTTCGAATCCACTGGGTACTGTCAAGATAACATCAGAAAAAGTGAGTATAAAATAAACTGGAGTAAATATAATTTCGTAATTATTTATTTAAACATGTGCTAACTCAGGAAGTTTCCTTGAGCAATACCTTGCCTCGCCTCCTCCTCAAGCAAGTCCGTATGCAAGGCTAAATACCTCTCTTCATCACAGAGGGCATCTATTCTAGCTTCCTCTTCAGACAATTGATAATCTCTGTTCCATGTAGAGTATTCAGCATCATATTCAGAAAGGTCATGCAGGTGACCACGTCCATCATACCTGCAAGATGAAAGAGCTGGTCAATGCAAGAAACTTAGGACTTGGGTTTATGTGACTACTTAAATACTTACCCATTAAAAATGAAAAAAAAACTTATGTGTTAAAACATATTTCCTTTTAGAAGTTACGTTTAATTTTGCTAATCATTTGTCACCAACTATCGAAAATTTAATTGTCTAAATTCCTCTCAAAGAAAATAATAAATTACTACAATTAAAGGCAAAAGTATCCTTTAATAGTTTAAGTGGGATTCATTTCCTTAACAGCTCTTACCGTATGTAGTTCAACCAACCAATCAATGTCACTTGCAAAATACGTTTTTCTGGAAAGTCAAATAGCTTACATTCACACAAACCCGAATACATAAATACCTATCCGTAAGAACCAAACGGTCGAAATTTCCTCGCTTCTTTCTGCTAGTCCCGAACTCTCAGGAGATATCTTCACCATAGAAACTTGCGTCCATTGGAGGTAAAATCATGGCTAGGCTCGGCCCCTAGCCATTTGGCTGAGGAAATAAGTTCTGGGTTATGTGATAGAGAGACACACATACATAGGAACAGTAACATATACATGCAATTTAAGGAGGTTCACCGTAAAAACGGCAAAGATCAATGACGTACAGTTCCTTTCTACTAGCAGAAATAATTTTATTTGCAGGAAAAGCATTGCATTGGGATAATGTTTATGCATCAGTAAAAGAAACTGATTGGAAAGTAAAGTGACAGTAAGCTCGACTCCGCTGAGGTGTCTTCCCACACACAACTCTTGACTTGTGCCAACTTGCTAGACCAAAAACAAAGAAAGTAAATATTCTAATAGCAAAAAGTTAATGAAACACGGAGGTCTGGTTAATCAAGCTCTATCCACAGGCAAACTTCAACCCATGTCTTCTCATAGCAATGTGTTTTTCTAAACAAGAAAACGAAGACTTCCTGCTGCTGGAGATAGAAAAAAATCTAAGCTTCCAAAGCAGTTTATAAGATTAGTGAATGCAAACTTCCCTAGCTTACAAATGTAGGTTACTTCCATTTTTTTTTTGGTATTATATGTGCATACATGCTCATACTTAGCTTTTGTTCCCAGCAATTTCTGTAGCTACTCTAATTTGGGTCACAGCTATGCAGAATCATAAAAATGCCTCTACTTACTAAAGAAATCTGTCATAGAAGTGAATTGCCATTAGAAGACAAGCATTGTAACACTTCTATTTCATATAAGACATAAAACATATCTAACCTACGTTCATCATTATTTTTTCTTCTCTTTTTGCATTTATTTCAATGTGTCAATAAACTTCAATCATAAAAATCATTAATGGGGAAAAATCCAATATACTACAAGGGTATTTTCTCCAGTTTTCTGGATTTCTGGAAGACAATGAAAAGACTAACCCTTATTATTAATTTTTTTTCAAGCCAGATATCCCTGTTAACACCGAAACATGGAAAATCATGTTTAGCACCAAAAATACTAAATACTGAAATTGAGGGAACAAATTTCTATTGTATGTCATGTGATTCTTTCAAAACCAAAATCCTTCCATCCTTCCCACTGAGGTTTTCAGTGACAGCCACAACTCCTCTTGAATTGAGCTCTCAGTGCTCCTCCTAGTGTCACCCAACCTGATCGCTCATCTTCTCTGCCCACAAAAACATGCAAAAATTTTATTCTAAATAAATTTATTCCTAAATTCTAACTCTGCACTGCTGATGCTATTGTAGAGACCAGAAACAACCCCCCAAAAACCATCTTTCATGCCATAAACCAGCACCTACTACAAAACAACACTCATCCAAGAGAAAAAGGAAGAAAAAAAAAAAAGTTGTGCCTGACAAAATTGGAAGAGAAAGCAACTCCAAAATACAGAGCCATTCTACCTAATACAGTCACTCGCAGCACAGGCAGAAAGCTATCTGGCCCAGAATTGCTCACGAGGGATCACATCAATAGCTTACAGTCAGATTACATAAGGCCCAATTTTCCCTTAGGTGGATAAACATCTTTCCACTCCCCACAGTGCACTCTATTCATTTTGGGGACACAAACATTAGATGTTTAACAGCATTTCCTTGCAATAAGACTTCCCTAATTTCCAAGTGGGAAGAGATGATGTTGGGGTTTGCATTGAAAACTGCAACTCCTTCCCGCCCTCCGCCCAGTGAACCCTACCCTATCCACGTGGAGCAGAAAACCTCAAAAGACACCAAATATCAGAAAGATTCGGGCCAAACTCCCGAAGCTGCCAAACAGGGGAACCCCCAAGTTCCCCTTGCCATGGGGAAAAGCTCTGCAGCGTTACCAAAGCAACATCTGAAAAATTCTACCCGAAGGAGCAGCCCTCCAGCGCTGCCAGCGAGGAACATCCCCACGCGCCTGCCGGAGCGAGTCCTCCGCCGCTCACACCCCCCCTCACCTGCCCACAGCATAAGGGGGGGAACAGAAAGAGGCTATAACAGGAGATCTCGCAGCAGAGGCTGGGGGTTGGGTTGCACCGACCTATCGATCATGATCTTGGGGTCTCCCATCCAAGGAATAAGGTGTCGCCCCTGCTCCTGGTACTGAGCCTTCTCATCATCTCGAAACAGCTTGCAGGCATAGCCGAACACCAGCAGCTCCACACGGCTACTCCCACCTCCACCTCCTCCTCCTGCACCTGCTCCGGGGGGCCCCGGGACCGCTCCCCCGCCTGACAACAACATTAGGGGCGGCGGGCCTGAGTCTTCTGCGGTCCGTCGAGAGCCCCCGGCCCCTCCGTACATCACCAGAGGGTGCCACGAGGAGGAGGAAACTCGCGGTTAACAACGAGTGTCCGAAAAGCGAGTCCCCCTAAAGGCCGGGCCTGCCCGGAGCGCCCCAGCACCAGAGCACCACAGTCGCCATCACCCGAAACAAAATGGCAACATATCCGCTTCCGCTAAGAGAGTAAATGGTGCTTTAGTTTCAGGCGATTAACAGATTCGCCTAACGCTTCAGGAAAACAACATTAAAATAAAATGAAAAGGCGGAGAAAAGGGACCCTTTACTACGTCCAGCTGCTGGGCCGGGAGAGAAGGGCGAGTGGTGAGTGACCATCTGGCAGGCAGGCAGGGGAACGGGTCGCGCCGGCAGTGAGGAAAGTGCGGGAGCTGAACTGCAGGCTAGGGTGTACGGAGGCTAATGGCGAGGGGGAGGGCGGCCGGGCCGATGGCGCCTCGTCACGGCCGTTGCCCTCGGTTAAATGTTCGCTCAGGCGCGGGGTAGCGCCCGGGGCCCTCTGGGGCCAGTGGCGAAGTAACAATGAGGCCATGGGAACTCCCAGCCTGTCCGTCCCCGCGTTTGAGGGTGGCCCCAGAGGCTCTGGGGAAGGGGCGCTGGTAGAGCTGGTCTGAAATGGAGGAACTGACCCGTGCGGAGCTGGGCAGAGGAGATGGTGGAGCTGGTGGCGCTCCGAGGGAGCAGAGGGGCTTAACTGCGGAAAAGTGATGCAGGCGGCCAGAGGTGGTGTCTGCTTAAGGCTCTGTGAGAGAAGGGGGAAAGTGGGTCTGAGAACCAAAGTTGTGGGAGAAAAAGATTGAGGAGTAGGGGAAGGTTTTTTCAGAAAGTGAATGGCTGGGAAGGTTTTGTTAAACTGCATGGCTAGACTGAGCCTCTAGAGCAGACAGGTGAGGGGCTACCTGAAAGGTTCTTTGAAGGAGAACAATCTTACAAGAGAAGATGTAGAAAAAACAAATGCCCTGAGCTTAACAAATAAATATCTAAGAAACTTCATGAATGTGTGGAAATTTTTGGTAATCTGATTGTGTCATAGCCTCCAGCAAACAAATGTGCTAAGAGCAGTTGCTTCTGACTGCTGGGTGTTCCTGACTTGAAAATATTGGCTGAGCTGCTTCAAAGAGGAGCAAAGCTCTAAGTGCAGCGGTAACCTTAGAAAACACAGATTGTATACAGGTGTGCCAAGGGGCAATTAAAAACAGGCTTGAAGACCATGGAACAGGTTGATATCACCTGGGAAGCATTCAGAGTAAAGAAAGGAGCAGGAAAAAACAATGGGAAGTACTACAAGAGAAAAAAGAATCAGTTCTTGACAGGGAGCAATTGAACATTGATATGTAGCAAGGATTTAGTGACTTCTGTAAGGCCAGCGTTAATGAAAATGATTCAGCCAAAAGATAGAGCAGGAACATATCAAATAATATGGCATAGATATGACCCCATGCAACTGAAGTGGCAGTGTAATAAGATAACTGCAGAACATTTTGCTAAGGTGTCAGCATTTGAGACAAGGATATGGACTGCGTGAGCCAGATAACGGCCAAAAATGGAAGTCTTAGTTGCAAAGAATGTAATTACAGAAAGATGGAGAGAGTATTTTAATGGGCTCTTTGGAGGGAATATTTTCATGAATTCTTTAATGGTGAAATGGATAAAGGTAAATAAACAGCAGTTTTCCAGGCAGCTGAGCTGTTTGTAGAAGAACAGGAGGGGATGCAAGTCTTAAAAAGGAACTACAAGTCTTAAAAAAAGTGCTAGCTTGTGGTATATTGAACATAACCTGAAGAAATGGAAGAACCTTATGTCTAATTCTGAAAAAGGAGACAAAATGACTTGTAGTAGTGTCTTACTATTGAATTTTCAAGCCTATATGTTAGCATATAATTAACTTGTAATCAGGAAAGGAGTTAAGAGGTTTCTGGAAGAACTATTGAACATCACTTTCAAATTATTAGCTACCTAAGGAAATTAAATGAGAACATGACCAGACCACATATGAGCTTTAGTGTATTTCAGAAAGGACAGGATGGTGCATTATGAATTTGTACAGTAATCAAAAAGCACTCTTTTCTTCCTTTGGGTGGTTCCCCCCAGTATTTTTAAGAAAAAAATGTTATTTCATTTTTATTTTTTGCTCTAGTCTGTTATCAGTGGGAAGGAATATATGAGTATTATTTAAGTTAGTTAATGTGCTTGACAAGGGTAAGTTAAAGTTTGAATCCTACTAACAGTCAATATTGAATTTGTTCCTGAGTTCCCTTATAGGAGCAACTTTGTCCTCTTCCTGTTTTGCTACCAAAAATGCTTTTCGATGAGATAGATAAAATGGATGAAACATATGCAATTTCTGTTACTGTGCTAAAGATTCAATTTATAATTAACCAAATTGTTTGCATTTAGCTTTCATACACTGATATATTTAAGGGGAGTCTTCAAGTTGGTGGTGTATCTGTCTGTCTTCAAAAAGTTTTTCATTAAATTCTTTGCACAACAAAGCAGCCGACTCTGTGTTACAATCTGGTCAATAGTATTTACCTTCTTGATAGTTAAGAGGATGCTTATCCTCTCTGCAAAGAGGAGAAGGTTATAGCTCACCAAGTTTAGTATATTCAGACAATAAACTTAGGAGCAAATTTTGATTTGGGATATAGGTTAATCAATGGTTAATGAGCAGTACCATTTCTCTAGTGATGTGGTAGCATTCTTAATTAAGCCTTGAAAATTATTGCTGTGCTACTTGGAGAGAATTGTACTTTGTACATGAGGAAATAATTTTCTTTCCTTTTTTTGTGCTTTTTTTTTCTGCTTTGTATCATTGAAAGTAAACAAATATCAAAAGGAAAGGTCAAAGTCTGCCTTCATGGGACTGCATTAAAACAACCGTTATTTATTTGTATTATTGGCATGCCTAAAGAACCCAAAAGAGATTCATCTGCTTCAATGGATTGTGAGGATATATTTATTACTAATAACAACAAAGAAATAGAGATGGTTAATGATTTTCATTCCCTTTGATAAAATGAGTGCCAAAGCTAGAGGCAGACTTAGTTGCAAACTTCATAGTTCTGGCAATTCTTCTTGTTGCAAATGAAGTAAATATTGGTCTTCAGCAGCCATTGCTTTTCTCTTAAATTATGCTAAAGTATTCCTGGTCTCCTGTGTGCTTTAGAAAAAGTCAATACTGCTTGCTGTTGTGGAAGTAATTACTGAAGATTTGGGCCTGGTAAACTACTA